ATCGAACCGCAGCCGAATAAAACTGAACCGCTAAGAAACCGAAAACGAATGTAAAAACCAAACTGAACCGAAGTTGTTTGGTTCGGTTTTGGTTTTTACCCTTTAAAACCGAACCGAACAAACCGAACTATTTAAAATATGAAATTTATATGTCAATTGCTAAACATTAATTCTAATTAATCTTAATATCATCAATAGTCTTTGATTTTCTTGTGTTAGAGAAATAATGTTTGTGGTATGTTTAGTTTAATTTACTTTATAAATACATTTGCACATTCATTGTCTGTAATAATGTAGCTATATTGAATGATGATAATATGTGTTTACTAGTTATTGGTAGTAATTAACTTTTATTTTTAGATAACTTAAAGATTTTATATTGATAAAACTATATATATTCATCTCAACTATATCACATAGAAAATATATATTCATGAACGTTTTTCAAACTACTCACAAACAAATTAAATCAATAATATATATATATATATATATATATATATATAGTTTTATCTATCTGGCATACTGATATAATTCAAGACATATTTATCTCTTCTCATTTTTATTTTATTTGTTGTTGTATTGTACTTGCATTCTTTATGTATTATATTTGATCCCTCTAAGTATTATATCAATTTTAAATCAAGTGAGAATTTTTTTGATAAAAAACCGAAAAAAATGAAACCGAACCAAAACAAACCGAAATGAACTTTTTAGATTATGTATTTGGCTTTTTAGATTAGAGAGCTCTTCTCATCAGGCCGGCCTGACGGGCTGCCCCGTCCGGCCGAGCCCGTTTGGGCACCTTCCCGGTGGAATTTTTTGATGAAATATTTTGAGCATGTTCCTCATCAAGTCTAGTTTGTCCATACCAAATTTCAGCTCAAAATTCGATCGGGAAGGTCGTCAAATGATTTTTGCAAGTTAACTGGTCCGGAATATGTATTTTCCGGACCAGTTAACTTGCAAAAATCATTTGACGACCTTCCCGATCGAATTTTGAGCTGAAATTTGGTATGGACAAACTAGACTTGATGAGGAACATGCTCAAAAAATTTCATCAAAAAATTCCATCGGGAAGGTGCCCAAACGGGCTCGGCCGGACGGGGCAGCCCGTCAGGCCGGCCTGATGAGATGATTTCTCTTTTAGATTATGTATTTGGTTTTAGTTAGTACCGAACCCACCCCAAAGTCTTGTCCAAAGGAATCAGTCTGAATTTGGAAAACGTCAAACCAAAAAGAAAAGGGGAATATCACTCTTTCTTCTTCCCCAAAATACTTTTCTTTCATCCTCAAAAAGGCCCGCATTCTGAAATTAATCCGAGGGCTTCTTAATTTCCCGATTCGCCAATGATGGCGAGCTCCTCCCGGCTCGCCAAATCCGCCATGATTTCGTTTTCTAAACCCCCTTTCTGTCTAATTGCGGTCTACCTTTTCATTGCCGTCTTCTGGTTGTCAACATCCGTCCGGGGAGAGTCGAGCAACAACCACATCCTCTTGCCGTCCGATCGGGACAACGGCGCCATTTGCCCTCCGATCCAGGAATCTCCCGCTTCCTGCCCAATCAAGTGTTTCCGAACAGTCCCGGTTTGCGGCGTGGATGGCGTGACCTACTGGTGCGGTTGTGCCGATGCGCATTGCAACGGCGTTCAGGTGGCAAGGTTAGGGTTTTGCGACGCCGGGAATGGAGGAGCGGGTCCCATTTCGGGTCAAGCTTTTTTGCTGGTTCACATTATTTGGCTCATTTTACTTGGGATTTTCGTGCTCTTTGGGTTTCTTTGATGCAATCTTCTTCACTTCTTTTGCTTTTTAGATTTGTTGTTGGTTTTATACCGCCCTGAGTTTCAGATGAGACCATAGGTAGATTTGTATAACTAATTCATCTGCATATATCTTACTTTTATTTGTAAATTTATTTACTACAATCAATTGTTCAACACTTTTAGAATTACAATATTCATATGTTTGTGTCTTCAATTTTGTATTTTCCCTTGATGATTGCTCATTTGTATAAGGAATTGTCATTTCCTTTTGTCTTGCTGTAAGTTCATACTACTTTGCATTTGACCATTTCTGTACAGAATGCTTCTTTGCATACCAAACAATTTGCTCATCTGTAATGAAAATGTACATACAGAATTGACTCAAAAAGGGCACTCAAAAAAGAATGCTCATGGTTTTCTCAGGAAGGGTTTTGCTGCCATTTTCGGAAGCGCTTTAAGTCCAATGCCCTCAGTTTAGGTGTTTGTTTGGGAGAACATTTAAATTTCTTTCTAAAATTATTAAAATCAAGATATTATAAAACGTAAATTGACGCTCAACACCAGCGGTTTGTTCCAACATTTTCTAGCCTTTTTACACGCTTAGACATCATTTAACAGCTTATGATGCAAGCTTGGATCAAAGCATTTCCCATTTTCCCTCCCCGAATTTAAGATTCACCTCCCTTTCTCTTGTATAGCACAAAGATACCAAACATGTATGTGTATAAAAAGGAAACACAAAATGGACCAGATAGACCAACCCAAAGAAAGAGCTGAGGAAGATACCAGTATTTTGTCATTCTCTATGTCCCATTTTACCTTTCATTATTACTACTAAATGGTAATCTTATTTCTTAACTTTTTAGTTGTTAGGATTATGGAACTAAGTGTGATTAATTTATTCAAAATCATTGGCGCTTTCATTTTTAACACATTTGTTTTGAATTATATTCTGATCTTAAACATGATGCCTCAAGGATTATAGTCAGCATTTGTCTTCTTTATTTGATAGTAATCACAGTCATGCCCCTACAATTATGAAAATTTTCCTTGTTAAATTTGGGAGAAACGTTTTCATATACTACGTATTACATTAAATATTACCTCCTCTGTCTCTTACAATGTTATATTGTTATAAGTAATTAATTTTTGTTACTTATTATTTATCTCCGCTCAAATCATATTCTAATCTCATACTAGTAGTTTTTATTTTTTTTATTTTGCGTATCAGTCAAACCAGACAAAGTTGTAAAAGAGTGGACGAGAACTTGTTAGCAAGACATAGCGCATATCCTTCAACAGTTCAACCCCCAATCCTTACTGTTGTCCAACAAATAGAATGTTGATGAATGAGTTTACATTGAAAGCCTGCAAGGCTAATTTAATCAACTTCTTGGTATCTCAAGATTGTAGAGGAAAATGCTACAGTATAATGCGTTGAGCGGTTGTTTTGGTGTACTTTAATTTGTGCAAGATTACATTGTGCTCAGGGATGGCCCCGGGCCGGTTCGGGCCCGGTTCGGGCCTAGGCCCGGCCGGGCCTCGGGTCTGTTTTGTTGGGCCCGAGCCCGAACCGGTGGCCACCGTTTCCGGGCCGGGCCACCCGGTTATTTTATTTTTTTTTTCTTTTCTTCCCCCCACCCCCCCCCCCCCAAACCCCCCAAACCGGTCCTAAACATCAAGCCCAACTCAATAAAGCCCAAAAAAATGAAAAAAAAAAACAGTTTTTGGCCCGGACCCGGGCCCGACCCGGCCGGGCCGGTTCACCTAATACAAGGCCCGAGCCCGGACCCGCCCCCCCCACCGGGCCTAGGCCCGACCCGGACCCGGACCCGAGAACCGGGCCGGTTCCGGGCCCGCACAGTGGCGGGCCGGGCCGGTCCCGGGCTGGGCGGCCTTAACCGGGTCCATGACTAATTGTGCTCTTGCTTTTTAGGGGGTTTAATGTTTTATTGATGTGAAGTGGATCTTTTAATTCACGCATTTATAGTGTGTATTCTTTAAGATCTCTGCAAGTTTAATTTTCTTTTTGACCTCTTGTCCATTCTAGCTACATCTGTTTTTCTTTACGTATGTATATCTTGACAGTTCATTCAAAAAATACTTATTTTATTTCCTGATAACCATTTAGGCTGATATTTAAAACGTGATTGATTAGTTACACTTATTTTTTGAATGTGCTCACACTTCAACTATAGTATCATTTCACTTTTAAATATCAACATCTTTCAACTGGAATGAGTTTCGACGTTGTGAGAGACATTAAACTTTGTTAAACTGATATTATTCATGGTTAATTAGAGACATGTTGAAAAAACAATATACACTTTTAGGATGAAAAAAGAAATTGCAAGGAATATAGAAATCATAATAGGCATTATACCTATCATAATAGGTTATAATAGGTGTTTTTAATTGTTCCAAAAAAAAATAAATTAAAACACGTGAAATAGGTATTGCGTAGTCTTATTTATTAGGATGTAGTCTCGTATCATTTTAACGGTCTCACTTTTCTTTTCGGGACGTATCAAATTAATTGTCCCGTTTTTTAATGGAACTCATCCAAAAAGTAGTTACAATACCGCTACAATACCAAAAATCACTTACTTTCATATAGTCCAAGTAATTATTTTAAACTACGTGAAAAAGCAAACAGACCAACTAAAATGATATGCAGGGAGTACTTAGTTCTTATGTCTCCCTATCTTTCTTATTTGATCATTTTTATCCATTTCTAATTTAGTATTACTTTAATCACATTTTACCAATTCAATACTAGTCAAGGTTTTAAATAGCCGTAGCGGCAGCGGTAGCGGTAGCGGTCATCGCGGTAGCGGCCTGTAGCGGCCTGTAGCCGACTGTAGCGATTGCAGCGGCGTGAAATATTTTCAATTGCGCAAAACATATATTTAATGAGTGTTGAAGTTAATACAAACATTGTGAATATTTGTTTGAACATTTATAACATTAAGAGTTCATTTACAGAACATAGACACATTTACACATCAACCCGTTCGTGACGTACTGCCGGAAATGTCAATAGCGGGCTGTAGCGGGCTATAGCGGGCTGTAGCGGGCGGCGTAGCGGATTTTTCCCGTGATTTGGAAATCACAGCGGAATAGCGGGCCATAGCGGTCGCGGCCCCTACCGCGACCGCTATATAGCGGCCGCTATAGCGGTAGCGGGCCGCTATTTAAAACCCTGATACTAGTCAAACAATTTCAATTTTTGTTATAACCTCATCCCTTCTTCTTGTTTCAATTTTAGGCAAGGGAGGCCGAGGTAATAGCTTCTACCATAGTTTGGGATGAGAACATAAAAAGGAGTATATATGTAGGTGTGAAGATGAGTTGGTAAGAAAGAAATGGTAAGGTCTCTGTCTCCATAGTTGGTAGTTCCGCATGTGCTCTGCCATCGCACAAACTCAGCTTTTTGTGCTCAATAATCCCACCGCCCAACCTTTTCCCTGTCATTCTTTTGTCATTTAAGTCCCCTCCTTCCTACATATAACTGCTCGCTTAAGCTAAGCTAGTGTTTTATTATCAGCTATATTAGCTGCATGCCCGTTTTCTGATCAAGTCAAAAACAGGCCGGCCGGTGATCAGATCAAACAAGAACCCAAATTAAACAGGTAAAATATAATGATCGTAATTAGCTAGCTTAATTAGCTGTTTTCTTGCTTCCATTCATTTCTGATGCATCTGTACTTTTTCAGTCTATTGATCTACATTTCTGGAAGTATATGTGTGCATTATATTTTTACGTAACTCCTGTGAGTACTAAACTAAACGAGCAGGAAAGGAAGGGGTAAAGCTAAGGCACAAACAAAAGCAGAGGAGCAAAAGATGGCAGATGAAGAAGAGCCTCCGGCCTCCCCTTTTGTGCTCTACGTGGATTTGCATTGTTTGGGATGCGCTAAAAAGATCGAAAGATCCATTGTCAAAATCAGAGGTCCGCTGATCCACGTATCCCTTTTCTTGAATATGAAATTTATTTGTATAAATATATATGATCGATATTTTTTTATTCTTAAAATATGATTTAGAGGAGTTACACTATACTATGCTAAGGACTAGTTCAAGATCTTAATAAAAGAAAATATTAACAAAATTTTATTAATATCCTATCAAATTGAGATCTTGTACTATTGTTACATGATGTCCTATCAATGGTATTATGTGTGCATAACTCTCAACTACACAAAATGTGAATTGTGTGGTTGAGAGTTATGTAGTGGAGGAAGTTACGAAGAGGGAAGAGGAAAGAGAGAAATGATATGAACAATTTTTTGTCGTAAAAGGAAATCAAAGATTATTTTGAGACTATATAAGATGGAATGAATGGAGACAATTGTGCAATAAGTTTTTCCCCATTATATCATCTCAAACCCTATAAACTCTTGTTTATACTTTTTATATACTAGAAAGTTTACTAGATCACGGATTATAAGGGCATATGTTTGGTACTATTCAAAAAGTCTTTACAAACTTCTAGTTGTATGTTTGACATAGCAATATTTGAGTAACATCTTAGAAAAGTCCGTAGGTTTTAGCTTTAATTAGTCACAGCAGCTTATTATACCAAATAAGACTAAGTGCATGTTTGGTAAGCATAAGTCCTTACTTTCTAGCTTTTGTATTATTTTAAAAGTCTCCAAAGGTTTCTAGTTGAATGTTTGACATGATAATTTTTAAGAGTTTTTTAAAAAAATAAAGGATCTTTGTTGCGATGCTATAGTGATTAGCATCTCAGAAAAATTATTAGCTTTTAGCATTAGTTAATTCCAACTAAATGTATGTCAAATAAAACTAAATCAAACAGCCAACTTTTTAACAACAGTTACCACCTTTTTCTTTTAATCTTTTTGCAGTGACTAAAAACTTCCAGTTACTAAAAAGATCATAAAAGTATCTTTTTATCTAGTTGTGCTAAACATACCCTAATTAAATCAAACAATCAACTTCTTTTCATTTTTTCAAATACTACGTTGTTACAAATTTTTGTTTTAAGTTCTTTTCCTTCACTAAAATTTGTAAAGTTACTGCGTACTAAAAAGAGAATAAAATATCATTTTATGTCCTTGTGACAAACATAGCGTAAATGTATAACTATAACTTTCAATGTGTCTGCTAGGGGTTGAAGGTGTAGTGATAAATATGTCAACAAACCAAGTGACAATAAAAGGAGCAGTGGAGCCTAACGCAATTTGTACCAAGATTACCAATATAACAAAGAGAGGTGCCAAGTTACTCTCACCTTTACCAGCTGCTGAGGGCGAACCTACGCCAGAAGTAGTTTCTTCTCAGGTAATTTATATACTACGGTATTTTTCAATAACACGTCTTATTATTGTATCTTTCAACTCATATAATTAATTAATATAGTACTATCATATTATCACTAATCATCTAGGGCTATGGGGCAAGTCCCCGGCTTATTACTTTCTGTCCCCACATTTAGTAGAAGTGTATCACTAACCCGCACGGATAGCTCAACGGTAGTTGAGTGGTGTAGTTATATCGATGTCTCATGTTCAATTCCTAAGCGCGGCATCGTGGGAGTTTCATCAAACGTGACGAGATATGCATTACTACATTTCAGTATCTATTGTATCAGCTAGAAGTGTTACAACATCAATAAAAGTTTTTACATTTGGCTAAAGGTAACACTTTTTCTCCATTACATTTGTTTGCGTTGCATTTGACATATTGTAACACTTTTTAGTTTCTAATGTAACACTTAACGCCGGCGAGCTAAAAGTGTTACATTTAAATTAAATGTCACAATAGAGAATAAGTGTTACTTTTACCAAGTGTGTTACAAATTAACAATTTTGTTGCACAAAAATATAGTGTTACATTTAGGGAATATTGTTACTTTATCTATGAACTATTACATTTAACCAACATGTTTGAGTCGGTTTGACACACTGAAACACATCCACATACAAATTAGAAGCTTAGAAAAATAATATTTCATTAAACGGAATTTAGTGAAATACATTTGATGGAGTATATGGCCCAGGAACCCCCGGCCCGTAGACTCCTACTTCTCTTACACAAGTCCATTGAGCCCAGAGAACAACTCAGGCCCAAATGCAACGGCCCAAGCCTCAAAGTGGCCCAGGATGCACAATGGGGTGCCTTCGGCCTCCTTGGCCGAAGGCTCCAAAACCCACAGGATAGCCTCCTCTGGCGTAAGAAGCTACCGGGAGAAAACGGCGAAAAACGTGAGCCTTCGGCATTATCAAGCCCTCGGCACCAGAGAAGCCTTCGGCTGAACCAAGCCTTCGGTCATACAGGGCCTTCGGCTACACAGGGGTCCTGGGTCACATGGAGCCCTCGGCTTCACGGGGAGCCTTCGGCCAAACATGCTCAATCATTGAAGATTCCTTTTGGAGACAGTCAACCACCGCATTTAATGCAACGTCACATCCGCCAACCGCATTCAATGCGGTGAACGTACCACTGCCGGTGCCACCCGATTGATGTGACCCCTCGGCCGTTGGATTACTGACACGTGTACTCGCATCGCATTTATTGCTGCTATAAATAGCAGCCCATTTCTCCTTGTAAACGATCCATCATCCAACTACACATCTCGAGTTCATTTAATAAAATCGACTCTCTCTCCTCCTATTTACTCTGACTTCTCTCTAAGTTATTCCCGCGTTAACCCCTCGGATAAGAAGCTCTACTTTACCATACAGAGTAACAAATAACAATCATTCAAAAGGTGAAGTATTGAAACAATTTAAGAGAAATAAATGATGTCGAGCTCATGGAGGACTCTGTATCTCCCACAAAAGTCACTTGTAGTAAAAACTTGTACACTAGTTCATCATAGTTAAACAGTGAACTGTGAACATATGGATGCTTCATTCATTGGATTGTTGTTTCCACCCTTCAATCCCCTGGAAATTAAATTAAGAAATCCAAATTAGCATACGAGAAATTAAAGAGTAGAATTGATCTAGGTGAAGAATTGATCACATGGTAAATATATTTTCAGTTCCTGATTAATAACATCCTTGTAATAGTCAAAAAAGAATAAAAGTAGCTCTAATTTATTTGTTCTTTACAGTCTTCCACATTCAGATTATCAATTCTTTTATCAACTTCTAGATAAGGAAATTGATGGCTTTTCAAAAATAACACATAACACACCTAGCTCATTCTACTATGTTATGTTATAATCTACCGAGGTATATCACAATCATAATATACCAAAACTTATAGCTTTAGTGCTTTACCAAGGTGACCATTCAACATTTTGTAAAAGAAAGGATGAGTACCTACTTACATATACCAATCTGAATATCCACCTCCCAAACACAACAATTAGATCCAGTAATTAGAACATCAAGCATATGACTATCTTTTATATCCATATAAAAGAAGTATGCCAATGTTACAAAGAATGGAAAAAGCAAACTTCATATTACCTAAATATTAATAGAAAAAAAAGAACACAAGATCACAATATACCTTAAGCAAATAAAAAATATATATGCACCGTACCGGTGTCTCCAAATGTGAAGAAATTACCTCATTAACACTGGTAAACGCTCTCAGGTTCAATCACCTTGGAACATAATGAGATTTGATTTTTCTGAAGTTATAACTGTATCCTTAAACATCTGAATAAAGGTAAAGTGTAGTGTTATTCTCTAATTTGTTTATAATCTTGAATTATACTGATTTTAGATTGACATAGAAATGCAATCCGATCTTTTATTGTCTCAACTTGTATATAAAACAAGAAAAATCTCTTAAAGTAGAATGAAGCAATGAAGCATTACTAAGTTATAAAAACAATGCCATTTAAAAAAATGCCACTAATTACTCTCAGCTTTTAGAAGATGAATTGTAGAAATCTATTTCTTTTGTGTAAAATAAATTGTATTAATGTTCAAGTTTACAAGACATATCCATTAATGAAAGAAAGACCGATCGATAAAAGTCAAAGTAATAGCACCAATAAAAAGCAAAACAACAATAAATAAATTATTAACAAAACTAAATAAACCAAAGGAATGAATAATAAAGACCATCACTTGTCCCAAATCACAAAAGATGCCTAGGGAAATCAAAGTGTGTTTCAGTCCACCCATATAAACAAAAAGGCTACTACTCATTTCAAATACAAATCTATAAACCAACCACCCTAATCCAAATAGGGAGATTTACCTTAATAGGATCAAAACATGGCTTTTTTCTCAAAATAGGAGTACCTAGTTTAAACATCCTTAAATAGGACTTTTTATTAGTGATTGGACCAAAATACCCCTCACAACCTTTACCACTGCTGCCCAGGGACTGCCGGACCGCCGCCTGCCGCCTGTCACCGCCGCCTGCCGCCTGCCGCCGCCTGCCGCCGCCGCCACCTGCCGCCCCACCGTCCCGCCGCCTGCCGCCGCTGCCGGAGCTCCGGCGACCGCCGCCGGAAAAATTCCAGATTTTTTTCTGGAGGTTTGCCAAGATTCTGCCGCCACTTGCCGCCGCCGCCACCGGAAACCGCCTCTTCCACTGCCGCCAACCTGCCGCCACCTACGGACTGCCCCGCTACCAACGGACTGCCTTGGTTGTGCAAGAGAACTAGGGGGGGGCAATTAATTGGGTTAATTAATTGCCGGAGTTGCCGCCGCCGCTGCCGGAATCCGCCGCCGGCCGCTGCCGGAGTGCTGCCGCCACCACGGACTGCCCCGCCACCGACGGACTGCCTTGGTTGTGCAAGGAAACTGGAGGGGCAATTATTTAGATTAATTAATTAATTAAATAGAATTAGGGGTAAAAAAGGTAAGGTTAGTCCTATTTAGAGAAAAACATGCATGTGGTCCTATTTTGAGAAAAAGGTTGAGTTTTAGTCCTATCTTGGACAATTTTCTCAAAATAGAACTACTTAAAGCATTTTCCAGGACAATCTTAAAAGTTAATCTAAGCTAACAAATGGAGACCCAGACACCGTAGGTTTGTTGTCCTCATTTCCCACTTAAACCAATTGTTATGTGTGTTATTAAAGGACTATGATTAAGCATGACTATACATACACTAAGTTGTGGGCACACAGTACAATAAGCAGCGAAAATTGATGAAAAGTTAAACAAAAAATACTCCATAAGAAAAGGATATTGTGCCATAAAAAGGGTCAAACGAATCGCTCTCAAACTGCTTTCAAAAATTCCTTTTGTACACGTTTTTGTACCCATCAGTACACGCATGTGTCTGTGAGAGTTTTTTTTTGTCTGTGAAGCGCTGTCCACAGACAAAAGCTGGTTTGTTTTGTCTGTGAAATTTTCCACAGACAAAACAAGCCAACTTATGTCTGTGGACCGCGCTTCACAGACAAAAAAAAACTCTCACAGACACATGCGTGTACTGATGGGTATAAAAACGTGTACACCAAGAATGGTTGAACTGCTTTAGGCGTGAAATATCATATACAGATTTCTATCCCACTTCTATACAGATTTAATGTCCCCACTTCTATTTACATCAAATATGTAGCACTAGTTTTAGCAGTTGGTATACCATGGGAGCGGCTCACAATGAGCATCCTACTCCCAGGCTTCTCTTTGTAAATTTTAACAGCATATTGATGTAACTCGTATACAAAGGAATGTAACTTACATTGAAAAGAAATGTAATTTGAGCGAAGTTGAAATGTAAGTTATCTAAAACAGAGTATAAGAAGTAAAACATTGATTTCAATTTAAATAATGAAAAAAGAAGTCTAATTGTCCATTTATTTTACATAAATAGTGTACATGTTTTTTTTAATATCAAGACTATAATTTGTTTTTATAATTTGTTTTTGAATAGCAGGGACTTGTTAAGTTGTGTAACTCACATTATATTGTGGTGTAACTTGCATTATTGAACATGTAAATCACAGGGTAAGTGGGATGCAACTTGTTAAGAAATTTTGACATGTAACTCACCCTTATAGATATGTGACTTTAGGCAAATCCTGATGTTACTTGAATGTGTGCAAGATGTAAATTGAGGAAAATCTAAAATAACTCATAGCAGTCATCTTCAACATACAACCAAGCCGAGTCTTCTTCATTAGAATATATACTCTTATATTCAAAAAATTATTACTAGTATACATATAGGTAGTATATTAAAACAAACATTTAGCTGTAAGTCTTTAAATTTGCCCACACATGCGCACTCCAAATCCAAAATACGGCATGGTCTACAATATTCAGGAACAAGGCCTAGCCGCATATCGCCGACGATTTACTTCAGTTCGCAGGGGATGGCGTCACAGCGGCCACACCGGCAATCGACCTAATCGCTACATCTATGCAACCAATTTAAGGGAAGACAATTGCACAAAAGGCGGTGGGGTGATGGCGGAAGGAGTGGAGAGTGGTGTTCCATGGGGAGATGAAGCAGCAAAGGAGAAATCCGTATATTTGCATTTTTTTAATACGAAGCATAAAACGGTCTGGTTTTGAATAAGCTAATGTAAAATACCGCCGTTTTGTAGAAAAAGTTTATACCCCAAATTAAAATGAACTATAAGTATTACATGTATTAATTTGTATGTAGTACGTAGTAGTACTACTTAACTATTTTTATTAGAGAAAATTACCGCTCGAATGACTAAACGAATATGACAGAATTATTAAATTAAATAATATTCTGTAATCTTTCAGGTGAATGGATTGAAAAAGGTAGAGCTTACAGTCAACATGCATTGCAAAGCTTGTGCGCAACAACTTAAAAGAAAGATACTCAAAATGAAAGGTCCGTTATCGTTTACTCCTTTATTTTACCGTATTTTAAGTATGTACGAACTTTCGATCCTAGCCACAATCATCGTAAGAAATCATCTTAACGTACCGGGTATGATCTATTGTCGGGTCGGGTAAGGTCGTAAGAGACTTTCGGGGTAAGCGATTCCACCTTTAGGGCTTTAGGTGGAAGAAATCATGTTCTTGTAGAATACTACGTACGTAGTATATAGGAGTATATGAATTTGGCATTTAATTAAAGATGTAAATAAAGCGATCATCGTTACTTTTTTTGGAGGTAACCGTTTCAACCGTAAGACATTTTTTGAGTTTTTTTTTGTTTTTTTATTTTTTTTTAATTTTTTTTAATTTTTTTTTCTTGAGTTTAGATGGAATTTGATAAAAGATAAGTGGTGGGTTTTGAGCTATTGGTTGGTTGTAACTCTTAATTAATTTGATGTTTTAATATCAATTTCTTTTCCTTTCAAAAAAAGAGTGAAATGTATAAATGACACATTAACTATTGATATTGTTGTGTTTTGGAACCTTAACTTTTAAATGAATCAAATCAGTACCATAAATATAATATACTCCGTATATAAATGTTTCAATTGACAATAGTATTCAATTTTTTTGCTAAAAATCTTATGTAGCTACCACAATTCTATGTTTAAAGTCCACCTCACCTTAGATTTGATCGTCTTGTAGGATTCTTTGGTTGCAAATTTGAATAATATTCTCAATTGAAGCATTTATGTGTAAATATGATACTGATTTGATTCATTTAAGAGCATCTCCAATGCTATAATGTGCACGGTGCACATGTGGCATGAGAGACAGCCACATAAATAATACTACCTCCGTCTCATTTATATTGTCCCGGAAGAGGGTGACACGGTTATTAAGAAAAGTGGATTTTTGTGGTTGATATTAATTGATAAAGTAAGAATAAAGTAAGAATGATTTAGAGTCACACAAACTTTGTCAAATATGGTATGAGACAATTTAAGTGAGACTTCACAAAAAGGTAAAACGAGACAATATAAATGGGACGGAGGGAGTAGCAAATAAATTATTTCCCTCCTTATTTGTATGATTTTACAACCGTGCTAGACGTACCCCATTTTGGGGTACCCCATTCTTACACCACACATTGTGTGGTCCAAATGAGGCCACAATTAAAAGTGTTGCCCCACTTAAAAGTATTGCTCCAATTGTGACCACAAAGTAGGGGTGGGGGTACAAAATGGGGTACAAGTTGGGGTACCTTTAGCATTTTATACAGCTTTGGTAAGTTTTTCTCTGTAGTAAACAACTAAACATTAAAATTTTATACATCTTTGGTAAGTTTTTCTCTGCAATGTCAACCACAATGTCAATATTTAGACGGTCTTCTTGACATTGTGGAGAAAGACTTATCAATAAAATCATTCAAATAAGGAGAGAGATAATATATTTGGTAATATTATGTGACTATCTTTCATTGTGTTGTTGGAAATGCTCTAGGAGTTAATATACCCAAAATGCAATAATTACAATAATTAAGATACTGTTTATGCATTTCACCTGTATACTCTGTAGTAAACAACTAAACATCAAAGAAGCTGTCCTTGCACGATACTGCAGGAGTGAGAAAAGTGGAAACAGAAGTAGACTCCGGTAAAGTGACGGTGATGGGGACGATGGACGCCGAAATGCTAGTGGAAAATGTCTATCGGGGAACTAAAAAGCAAGCAAAGATCGTCCCTCAGATTGAACCAAACCAGAAGGAGAATAAAGAAGAGAAAGAGAAGCCGGCGGACAAGCCCACCAAGCCCGATGATGAGAAAACTGAAGGTGGAAGTCCGCCGCCGCAAGAGGAGGAGGAGGAGATTTCGAAGAATCAGCCGGTGACAATAGCGGAAGAAGAGAACGCAAGCGAAGGGAAGAAGATGATGAACTATTACCAACCCCTTTACAACATTGAGAGAATTCTACCGGCGCCGCACATCTTTTCCGACGAAAACCCCCACGCGTGTTGCATTTCATGACAGTAATTTACAGTTTCCGCACATGTATGTATATTAATTGAATTAATAATGCGATTTATTATTGTACAACTTCCCTAGCTTCATTAATCAATAACGCCTTCATTACTTTTTAAAATGTTGCAAATCAACTCCACGGGTGTGGTATCTCTCATAGTTAGTTAAATACGGTACGGGAATTAAACGAGGTTTAATACGTACCTGTTTTATTCAGTAACTAGAATGAAAAAGACGGTCAAAATTCGTTGAAAAATATGTTGACTTTTAAAAAACGTGTCAATACATATACGTGTATAATACAGTATATGTTACAAAAATTCGGACAAAAAATACGGGGTATTATTTTTAACATTTAAAGTATATACTTCACAAAATAAGATATATAGTAAAAACAAATATAAATATACACATATTCAAGTAGCAAATCACATTACCACATAAAAGAATAATTTGTAATTTAATAAGTCGATGAAAAAATAAAAACAGTACCCCCTCTGTCCCATAAAATAGTTCATGCATTGACTTGGATCAGAGTTTAAGAAAGTGGAAATGTATGGTTGTGATTGAGTAAGAAAAAGGTAAACGAATGTAAGTCACACAGAACTTTCCAAAAAGAGAAATGAGAACTATTTTTTGGGATGGCCCAAAAAGGAAACCGAGAACTATTTTGCGGAACAGAGAGTAATTAAGCCCGAGACATAATTTTGCAAAATAAAGTAAAAAAATGAGGAATAATAACAATAGAATGAGACTAAGTTAATATCACTGTCTTTATATGCTCATCAAATAACGTTCAAGTCAAACTCATGATTTTCATTAAGATGATGAATGACATATGATAAAAGTATGTTGTGCGACTGCTGCACTTATTATTGTATATGTGTAAAAGTTTATACTAAAAATATGTCAGGTTTAGAACATCATAAACCCAACAGTGTTTCAAGTTTTTGTCTTTTAGGAAGCTAGCTTTAGCCGCCATGTAAATAATTTAGGATTAATAATTGCATTGTAAGAAGACAAAATTCCACTAATATGACTCTTTTAAGAATTACGGACAAAAATGTGACTTGATAACTTTTAGTTACCATAACTTTTAGTGATCATGATGTAAACTTTGAACACAGTTCTAGTAACTATAAGTTACCAAGACACAATTTTGTCCATGACTTTTGTATTAGTAATATTTTAGAAAAAACCTCTTGTAACAATACAAAAACATGGAGCCACTAGGAGTAGGTTTTCCTTTTTGCTTTTAAGCTATTGTCGATCTCCCATGCATTTAATGCACTAATTCAATTGATCAGTTTATGTTTCTATTTTTTGTAAAATACGGAAAAAATACGTTTTATACGGAAAGTATGAGTTTTTTTTCCTTTTTAAACGGACCGACATTATTTTTCGTTCTAAACACGTTTTTTTGCTCAAAAAACGGTACGTGTTTAAAACGCGTTTTAAACGGAAAAAAGCTAACTACGGTGTCTCTTCGTCGATGAGTAATAAAAAGAGCGGTGCTTGATGTAGGCTTTTAGTACACATGACTACATGAGTAAAAATGTAGATCCCGTTAGCACGAAAATCGGGTGATTTGATTGATTCTACTGAAATTTATGAAGATCTGACTGAAGTGACTGTATTGACTGATTCTATTGATTTAAGAAAAAAATATTTTTAAAATATAATTTATTAATAAAATAAAGAAAAAATTATATGTAAAAATTGCTAAAATGATCATGTACAGTAATTTCAGCTAAGACAGCCAGAAAAGTAACTTCAACCTTAGTTTTTCTGCTTATTACACAATTTTGCACGCGAAAGCAAAAGTTACATATTTGATGAAAAAGTTGGTTGATAAGCTGAAAGACAGTGTTGCCAAACGACCTCGTAATGATGTAAATAAGTAATGCGTTTGCATATTTACCCTATCTTATTTTTTTGTTAAATAAATTTATTACATAGAACATTTTGAACATACAACTTTTTGGTAAATTACAAAAAGTAATGGACTAGATCATGTTAAAAGTTAAAACGCCTTGAAATAAATACATTTACCAAAGCAGATGACCTTTTCCATTCTAAAGAGTAGAACATATCGTGACGTGATCAAAAGTAAGTTTAATTTTCATATCTTGGCGCACAGTCGCACACATTGGGAATACGTATTGAGCAAACTTTCTAATACCCTACAAAATGTTCAATCATGAAAAAGTCTGAATCCTACGGTTGTGGTGTGTTTGATCATAAAAAATGAACCTTGATGGCTCAAACTAAAATTTGATATCTAAATGAATGCCTAATTTTTTAGAATATACGGAGTAGGCCTGGACTCGGGCCAGTTCGGGCCTGAGCCCGGCCGGGCCTCGGTTTAGGAAAGGGGAGACATGGAACCGGCCCGGGTAATAGGGATGGACTCGGGCCCGGCCCGGCCCGGTTCTGGCCCGGAACCGGAACCACCCACCACCGGTTCGGGTTCGGGCCTCCTATTTCTGAACCGAGGCCCGGCCGGGCCCAGGCCCGAATCGGGCCCGAACCGGAACCGGTCCACCCCTACCGGGTAACCCCTGGATCGGGCCGGGCCTCAGTTCATTTTTTGTTTTTGCCTTTTCCTAATTAACCCCTAACTCCACCCCCAAACCATCTCAAATGACCCAAAATACCCAGCCCAACCAAAAAAACTTAAAAAAAATTCAAAAAAAAAATACATGAAATGGCCCGGACCGGAACCCCAGCGGCACAGCAGGTCAGGCCTACCCGAACCGGTCACTGACCGGGCCACCAGGCCAGGCCGGAACAGTGCCAGTTCGGGCCAGTTCTGGGTCGGGTCGGGTCTAATGCGGAGTAACTATTTGGAAGAAATTACTAAAACAATATAAAAAAAATTATTAAGGCCTTCATACTTTTTCAGCAAATTTATTTACAAAAAGAATAGGTTTGATATTGTTTGATGGAGCGAATACATATTTTTAAATTTGAGTTCACCCACACTATTAATAATAATAAATTATTGATGTGTGTTTTTTTGTACACCTCACTTTGTCTGTACACAGACAACTTTGTTTGTACACAAACAATTCATCTAGAATCGTCTATATAGAAAGGTGTACGAGAAAAGCTTACACCAAGCATTTTTCAACAATTACAGATCAGACCTCTAGTTTAAGGCTTCAAGCCTGGCAAATGGCATATGGTAAAAACACGTATACGTGGCTACGTGTATGGTATTTCAGCATGAAGGTAAAATACAAAACAAAGATGGTCAGAACTGAAAATAAAACAAAAGTATTAAACTATTAATGGTGGACTTGTTATGTTGTTAGTATCATAGTATGTAACTATGTACACCTCAAAAATGAATTGCAAGCACTTTCAGGCATAATCAGTAGTGTTTTCGAATCAGGGCATTAGCTACTTTGAACTAATATAATACTTCTATTTTGAAATATTAACTTGCTTTTACTCGGTTACTTCTATTTAGAGCATTTTTTAATTATTTGTTTCCTTTATGTTTTTAAGAAATTATATAGACAAGTAGAAAGTGCAACACTACTAGCAAGGTTAAGGTATCTGATGCACCATCCAATTCTCTGAAAAAAATAATACATACATACCATATACAACATATGAAGGCTTGCTGATATTGTGGAAAATATGAATGTTTCAACTGTACCATGCAGCAAAGTCATCCTTCAGTACATGCTCCCAATCAGACGACGAAGTATTGTACAATGCTGAAGAAGCTGCTCCAGGATTTGCTCTGTTATGTCTCTTTGTTTGTGGGACTGCATCAATTGAAGCTGAGTGGAGAAGAAACTCTTTCATGGATTCTTTTCCAAAACCATCTGCGGCAGCAAACGGGCCAGTACCACTGATCGTCACGGCAGGGCGATGCATGAAAGGATGCATCATGCTTGCATTTGAAATATTTTCTTCTGGCACTTGCACGTGCATTGGCTCAAATTGCTCCTCACCTATGTATGAACTGCAGTTCGCTTCCCGGCCTTTCAGAATGTTCAATCTTGCCATGATTGAACTGTCAGTGTCAATATTGCAACGTGCAATGGAAGTATTCTGGATATTTGAATCGGGAGCTAAGCTACCTCCAACGTTAGCTGCCATTGAGGAATATACGCATTTTCCAGGAAATGATTGCGATCTTGAAATAATCTCGGTGGTTGCTGAGGATTTGTATGGCATAACTGTAAAGAATCAATTATCAATTATTCTTATAATAATCAATTACAATCAGAATCAGTTTCTGTTTGGGTAAAGTTAGCTGACAAGTAGATGCCAAATACGAGTAATTAATATCTCTGGATGAAACAAAAAATAGCCTTCACAAAGGCGCAATTCCCTAAATAGGAGTAAATAAAAGCAAAATTGCAACAGAAGTATAACGTTTAAATTCCCATAATAGGACTAACTCTTCCTATTTTACCCTTTCCTTCGTCATGCTTAGTAGGATTTTTTAAATAACAATAATAATAAAACATAAAAATTAAAAATAATTAAAAATAAAAAAAGTAAAAAAAAAAAATAAAAAAAATATAGGCCAGATTAGGCCTCAACCGCCTTCCAGCACCACCACCACCCTTGATCGCCGGAAAGCAATGCCAACTTGCAAAAAACATTGTCATCGTGATTGCATTTTTGAAAGCAAAGTTGGATATTTTCACGAAAAAATTACAAATAGAGTTTGACCAGACAAAAATATGACTAGTTATGTTTTTGGACAAAAATATGACTAGTCACTACGTATGAGTGACTGTACAAGAGTCATTAGTGTATTTCAAAGTGACAACTTTGATAGATGATGAGTCATTGAAAACTGGTCACTGAATATGTCATTTTTTTGGAACATTTTAAAACAAGTCATATTTGTGTCTATTGAATTTAATTTAGTAATATTCATGGGGAAAGGCCTATTTTCAAAGAGTAAAAATGTCATCTTCATCACAATTTCAAGGGAATGTTGCATTTTTTGCACAAGATGACATTTTTTCCTGACGATCAGAACTGGTAGTGCTGGGGAGTGGAAGATGCAACGGTAAAGGCCTACATATTTTTTAATATGTTTTAGGTATAATATTTTTATTTTTTAAGTTTTACCGTTATTTTTTTTCTTCCCAAAAAAAAGTTTTGCCGTTATTTTATTATATTTTTAATTAATTAATTAATTTTTATTTATTTTATTTCATTCTTTCCCTTTTTATTATTAATTTAGTTATATTATTATTATTTTATACTTTTATTATAAATAAACTATGATTTTCTTATTAATAAAATTAATAAAATGAATCTACTAGGGATTATAAGAAGGGATAAAATAGGAAATGGGCGTATATTACTCCAATTTTGGGAAAGGCTTGTAGCCCAATTGTTTCACTTAGGAGTAATATTAATCCTATTTAGGGTTAATAGCCGTTTAAATAAATCATAAGCCACAAGTTTTTAACCTAAAAAAGTGCCATCCATGATCACAAGCCTGATAAATTTTTCAAAACAACTGAGATTTCAAAAGAAAAGAAAGAAAAGAAAACCACAAGCCGAGATTGTTGGTAACCAATCATGCTCTAAGTATTCTGAAACACACAGAAAAGAAAAGGAGACAAGCTACAGATAGTAAACTACAGACCACATACCTTTTGCTTTTGCTGTAATGGAATTTTGCATCTCCATCCTGCCTATATGTGGCCGGCTGTCACTCTTTCCACCTGCAAAACTTGTATGAACCACATCTGGATCTCGTTCCTTGTCCAAAAATGTTGATAAGGAAGTTGAATCCCTATCTTTCAAGATATTGTATCTGTCCATGACAGAAGCAATCTCAACATCAAGGTTATCTTTGGCACTGCGAGAAATAGATGGACTCTGAATGTCTGATTTTTGCAATGAGCGTTCACCAGCCTTAAAATCAGACACACAAATGGAACTTGAAACATTTTCTGCAGAACCTATACTTCCTGAAACATAAGAGAAACAGACACCATATTGATGAGATGCACAAAAAAAGCCTAAAATGAAGTGGAGTAATAAAAAGCCTTGCCATCTACAACCCTTGTGGAACTTTGCATCTCCATGGCAACCTTCATACGATCAAAACGAGCTTTGTAACTGATGGAACACAATTTTGCTTCTGCCTCAAGCCATAAGTTCTTAAAGAGTAGAGCCTGTGACTTTAATTCTCCATCAAATTGAAAGTTCTCATTTAAGACCTTCCCGATTGCCTGTCAGCCAGGTCCACGTCATTTATTAATATGTCCTACAATTTAATGGATGACCAGTTCAGAGAACCACCATAATTAAATCATACATTCTTACCCGTGACATATTATCCTCTTTTGAAATGTTAAGACTATCACTTGAGGCAAAAAGTTTAAGACTCTCATCTTTCTCGTTGCAGTGGAGGATATGCTGATCACCAGGCTGGCCATGTACAGAACTAGCAGATTTATTAATCTTTAAATGGGGCAGTGTCAAACCAGTATCCTGAAGAAAAAAAACATAGAAGCACAATAGCAAAGATATCAATGAAAACTCAAACAACATTTAACTGTCATCAGAGAAAGGCCAAACCTGAGCCAAAGCCCTCTTGAGAGTAGGATTTATAAAAAGTTAAAATTAAGACTCTAGAGCAGCACTTAATAGATGCAACAAGTATACAAGTTTTTGCTCATCACCAAAATCTAAGTTAAACAGAATCGGGGGACATAGTTAGATGTACACATTTCAAAACCTATGAGAGTCAGCTAAATGCCATACCGTATGGAATCCTTCCCCAATTTTATCCACAGTATCCTGCAGAGCTAACACCTTTTCCGGGGCCGTATTCATAGTTTCTATCCTCTTAGGTATACAATCATTGAGATTTCTTATAACGTGCTTTAGGGTCTCATAATCTTGCTCTCTGAGAGTGAACTCATTCGCTAAACACTGAAACCGAAGCAACCCTGAGAGGCTGTGAATAGACATGACCAGAGATTGAACATCCGTCTTTGGACACGGTGATAGCCTTCCATACATAAGAGCATGCTCAGGATCGTCCTGAGTACTAGGTGAATGCAAAACATTCTCAGCAGCATGAAGAGCAACATTACAACCTTCAGAGGCATCATTCATGTTTAGGTCACAAGAATCCTGAATCTGGGCCCCCAGTTCTACTTTTTCTGCACCAACTGACAGATGCTCTTTTTCATTATGCAAAACATTGCTTTCAGATTGCAGCACATGGGAAGTGGCACTTGAAGAAACTTCTGGAGGAAAATGATTCGCATCAGCATTAAAAGGAGATCGAGATGCCGAAGCTCCTTTCCAGCAAGGTGAATCAACACTAGGGTTATGCTGATCCATACCATCTAGAAAACTTTCATTGTACCGAACAGCTTGGATACTATTGTTGACCAAAGAGATATCATCCAACACTTTTGTAAAAGTAGCATGTGATCCAGAGCTAGATTCAAATGTTTGTTTCAAGGCATCATTAGCATGGGACTGCATTGTCATGTTTTCCTTTAGAGACCACAGTGAAGATGCGTTGAAGTTGCTACAGCTATCATCATCATCTTTGAGCCTGTTAAGTTGATTAGGGCTCAAAGGAACAAAACCTTTTCCTATAGAACTCGGTGTCTGGAGAACTTCTTCACCTTTCAAAGAGTCAAGGAAGCTACACATTCCATCGACCTGAATTGTTGAAAAATTGCCAATGTGTTCATTTTTCAAAGAAGCGGCCCTTTTTGTGGATGATGAAATGTCACCAGCAGTTGGTGGCCTAATGACCACAGTTGTCGTGGATTTCGGTACAGGTATGTTATCACGTGTGTGGGAAGAATCAAGTGGTTTAATCCATTGAGGATTGTAAGGTTTGCCATAGTTCATGTAACCCTTAGATGCTTCCATGAATTGACCACTTAAATGCAGTTCAGAAGATGTTAAGGGCATAGAAGGATACAAGTCTTGTTCTTTAACATGGTATGACTTGCCTGTGAAATGTCTCCTCTTCATAAATCCATCACGTGTTTCACTCTCAGTAGAATTCTCACGAAAAGTGCCAGATTCATAAGGTTTGGTTCCACACTCAAGGGAATGAACTCCTCCTAAATGATTCCAAAATCAGTAAGAGCTTGCATCAAAGCTCTTATAAAAAGTGTGTGTCACATTTTTATGCTAGTAAAAAATCATTATGTAAGCTACACAATGTCCCAAAGTAGAACCTAATCAGGGATGAAGAGATGCAGAAAAATTAAGTGTGTTTGGAACTCGGAGAATGCTAGGGGGAAGGGAAGTAATTCCAATTAAAGTTATTTTTTATGTTTGGTTTTACATATGGAAAATTAAACGGAAAACAAAATATAATTTTTTAGACTTCTCAGTCTTCATATAATAGGAATAAAACAACATCCAAGCCTTATTCCCAAAAGATTTTGGGGTCAACTAACATGAATCGATCCATGTTTTTTTATCTGAATAATTAAACAAAATATCTTTAAAAAGATTTTTTGACTTTGAGTCTGTCTTTTATTGTCTCTTAAAATTTATTTTCTTTTAATTTCTCTCTACTTTACTCCCTATCCTTAATCTTTTCTGGTTTCCAAAAGGACCCTTACAACATACACGAAAATTGAGAAATTGAAATCACAGAAACATTAGATGTTAGCATGTACATAAGACTGATAAAATTCAGTATGATAAATATTCACATTGAAGAAGCAAGCAAGTCAGAGTAATATAGTTAGCTACAACTAAGTTTCAAACAAGTTATGGCAGCAGAAATCAAGAACCACAGAGCAACTAGAAATGGGCTAAATTTAGTAACAGCTAGATAATAATCTAAATCAACACACAAAAACATTGCAAAGACAAAAAATTTACCTTGCTTAATTGGATTTTTTAGTAGATTTGAACCTTCAGCAGTTGCAATGTCATAACACAAACTACCACTACCTCCCATATGTTTACCAAGTTCCATATTATCAGTCAGTCCATTCCAAACACCAGAGGAATGTGAGTATTGCAAACCAGCCAAGCTCTGTGTGTAGTCCACTTGAGACGATACACACCCAGGCACAACCCCAGAGGTAGGTAACAACTCAGGACCTGGTTCATTAATGGCCGACAAGGAGGGGGTATTGTTACTAACCAACTGGGATGCATGAGAAACAGGATAATAAGGCCTACTACCTTCCGAAACATATGAAAAATCATCAATCGAAGTATTAGCTCCCAGGGATTGAGCGGACCAGTAGGGGCTACTCGGGATAGCAGACTGTGAAATCGAGCTTTCTTGCGCTGAAGTTGTTTTCGTAGAATCTTCATGCGAATACGAGAAGCTCGAATTGAATTTCAAACTGCTGGATCGATCGACAGTAAATGGCTCTGCCAAAGGTGATAAATTGGAGGAAGAAGACGATCCTCCTGTACTCAAAACTCCCAAGCCAAACATCGTAACTATAACACGATTTCTTAGAGCCCCGAAATTCAAATCTGAAGTAATAAATTAATACCCAAAGTAATCAGATTTCGTAGCCCCCAAACGCAATAACCATGACTGTGATATATAGCAGGAAAGACAATAGAGGTTGAGATTAAGCACGAGTATCACAAATTGTAGAAAAACGAATCTTACCAGACTTTTCCTAATCTCTCCTAAAAATTAAAACATAAACTAAAAATTACTCCGTGTAAGGTAAAGGACTTGAAAGTACGACGCCGATCCGTCCTAGACTCCTAGGAATCCTTGGTTAAGTTCTACTGATATGTAGACACTCGCTATCTATTATCTTGCCCAAACAAAGTAGCCAGTAAGCCACAGCCCACAAGCCCGAAAACAAATCACATGGTACTCTAAATCCTCTAATCCAAACAAAAAATGAGTGTATGATTTATATAAATTACTTACCAATTTTTTTTGTTCCAAGATTATGTATTTATAATTTTTCTCCAATAAAGGTTCTTGAATTTGCACCTCATTTATTCAGTCAAATTTAAGTTGGACACTTGGACCCCCCGTCCAACATATGTTAAAATGTGGTATGAAATAACAAATAAATGATCAAGGAAAAACGTAAGATTACTTGTAACCGAGCCCAACGTAAATGTTGTTTCTTTAAGACGTTTTTGCCCGACACACAAAGCAAGCGTCTCCCAGGATAGATTCTGGTGAACTATCTTGGGAACTCAAAGATGCAACGGGATAAAATATAGAGGAATTGTTTGTGAATTTTCGGATGATCCAAAACTAAAGACAAGGCAGGTATTTATAGAGCTCTGACCAGGAGTCTCTAACCCAAAAGATACCTTTTAAAAGAAAGTTCATGACCTTTCTTTTAAAACGAATGGTTGTGTCTTTTATTTGGTTTTATTCGAAAAATAAATAAAACCCGTAGCAAAAAATAAGTCTTCATGTTTTAAGCCCGATTGTTGACTGGTCAAAGACCTGGGCCCGATCTGACCGACTGGCCGCGACAGCGTGTGCGTGTTAAATATAATTCCACGCTTATCTTTCGGGGAACAATTTCTCATTCATTTCAAAATGGTTTTTACAAATAATAATAATGACTAATATTAATCTGTAAAACCATTTTCCCAACAATCCCCCCACATGAATGGAAAAATGGCTTAAAGACAGGAAATGGATTGGAATTTGACACGGGAAGATGGGAACTCTGCATAGGGTTAGTTAGTCGTTAAACTTTGAACCTACGTTAGTGTATATCCTTCGAATTTACTGGGCAATCGGTAGCACTTTGCTTTGAACCGTCAGCCATTGTGTAAACCTAGACAATGAATAACACACATAGCCCCGAGTGCATCTTTGGTTCTCACATTTGTGTTCGTTTCGGCCTTGAACACCCCCTGGTTCAGCTAGTGTTTTCAAGAGTATATCGTGCACCGGAGAATTTATCTCGTACCATAGACTCTCATAGAAGCGGCATTCTTCCACCAGCATAGGTGATCTCTATGGAAGGTATCATGTCATACCTTACTTGAATGTATCAAGATATAAAGATCATTAAAAGCGTAACTTACCCTAAGTGTTCATGGCATGAGTGTAGTATATCTTGGCTAGTACCGCCCGAGCCAGTCCACAGTTGTGTTTTTCCTTTGAACCTAATTATGCGGCACTCTCAATAGTAGATAGGGTTTCCCCATGAACTTTTATTGGATCATTGGTCGTAGGCCCATCGCTCTCCTTGACGTCTCGACCAACTCTCTCGGAAGAGGGTTGGTTAGCGGATCAGCACTATTTTCTTTCGACTTAACATAGTCAATAGAGATGATCCCATTTTTAATTAGTTTTCTCATAGTATTATGTCTACGACGGATGTGTCTAGACTTGCCATTAAAAACTGCATTCCTTGCCCTTCCAATTGGAGCTTGACTATCACAATGAATGGATATTGGAGGGACATGCTTTTTCCAACAAGGAAAATCTTCCAAAAAAACTCTCTTAACCATTCAGCTTCTTCTACAACCTTATCTAAGGCAATAAATTCAGCTTCCACGGTAGATCTTGCAATAAATGTTTGTTTGGAAGATATCCACGACACAGCACCACTTCCAAAGGTAAACACATATCCACTCGTTGATTTTGTGCCCTTGGAACCAGATATCCAATTTGCATCGGTATATCCCTCTAGCACAGCTGGATACTTTTGAAAATGTAAACCATAGTCTTTGGTGTACATACATAAAATATCCAAGCAGTCTTGTAAGCGCTTTCCAGTGTTCTCTACCGGGGTTTCTTGAAAACCGGCTTAGCTTATTCACATCCTGAGTTATGGCAGGTCGTGTGCCAATCATGACATATGTTAAACATCCTATGACCCGAGGATAGTCATCTGGGAGTACGTATATGGTACATCCGGCTGTACGGTGAGCACCGTATAGCCGGCTCAGGAACAGGTCCAAGGAAAAAATAGCAAAACAATTCAGTGGCGTTTTTGTAATTAATGTAAAAAACGCGGTTTCTGCTAAATGAGCATCAGTGCACTGTTAATGAGCAATAGTCCAATTTTAATGAGTATTAAGCATCTAATAATGAGTACCATGTTATTACAAGAAAGTTGATAGCAAAATTAAAAAATGGTGGCATTTTCGTAATTTCAGTGAAAATCGTGGTTTTCGTCAGATGAGCACTAATACACTTTTAATGAGCATCATATGTATTCTACTGAGCACTAAGAGTCGAATAATGAGTATTTGTGATATCAACTTCATATATTGTAATTCACTTTCTTTTTCTTATTTTTTTCTTTGAAAAAATCTCAGTAAATTATATCTATAATTCGTTCCTATGAATTTCAATATGTGAATCTAATGTAATATGATACTTTTAAAATGTGCATCGTTATGACATTTTAAAAATGAGCACATCAGTACCAAATGAGCATACATAACGTACAAATGAGCAGTACTTTGAAAATTGTAAGTTTTGTTAGTTGAATATCAAAACTCCCTCTATTGAGTATAAGGATTATGCAATTTAGTGAGCATCAGACATGTTTTGTTGAGCATTGGAAGCCTAACAATGAGTGTGGTGATCTGCTTTATATATTCAAATTCACTTTCTTTTAATTTCTTATTTTCCCTTTTTAAGAACTTGCTAAATATTATCTATAATCAACTCATTTGAACTTCAATATGCGAATCTAATGTAATATGCACCTTTGAAATATGCATTGATATGACATTTTAAAAATGAGCATAACATGAGCACCAATTGAGCTTAAGTTACTTAAAAATGAGCATTGATATGAAAATCATAAGTTTTTTTGTCGAAATTCAAGAAATATTTATTGAGCATCAAAACTTCTCTATTGAGTATTCAAAACATGCAATTGAGTATCATGCATGGTCTGTGCTCCTATGTCTCGTGAATGTAATTTAATATGGTTCTTTTAAAATAATCATTTATATAATATTTTAAAAATGAGCTAGCATCAGTACAAAATGAGCATACATTACTTACCAAATGAGTAATGATATGAAAACAATAAGCTTTGTTAGTTGACCATCACGATATTTTCATTGTATATCAAACCTCCGTTATTGAGTATCAGAAGCATGCAATTGAGTATCATGATTTGCGGTACCATGTACACAATCTAACTCTTATTCGAATCTAATATGATACTTTTGAAATATGCATTAACATGACATTTTAAAATGAGAATACAACCAGTACTAGATGAACATACAAAACTTATAAAACGAGCATCGGGAGATCAAAAAGATCGTTTGAATTCTCTAATGTGTTCAAATGTTCATTTTTGCACATATAGCAACAAATATAGTAATGACAAATATAGTAATTTTATATTAAAAAAATTATAGTCTTCCGTTTGCGAATTACAAATATAACCGTGTTATTTATATAATATTTACTCGTGCATATTTATTTCACTATACTCATTTCAATACTCCATATGATAGAAAATCCCACGGGAGATTGTCGTGAGAAGGGCAAGAGCTGTACGATAAAGTTTAATTCGAGAAAGTTGCGCCGGAATTCGGATGGAGTCGAATCGGCGAATCTAGTGACACCGTGTACAGCGGAGGTAGTAGACCGCTCTTCGGAGCTCCGGAAAGGCCACCATCCTGTTGCCGTCGATCGGAAGCTAGTGTCATCGGAGGCTTAGGCAGCGGACAAAATTTGATCCAAGGAAATTGGTGAGACTTGGATAGATTTACTGATATATTTTGAGAAGAAGATGTACTTGACCAGAAGAAGATTACGGGAGACGAGTTGCTGGGAGATGGAAGTCATCCTCTTGAACCTCTCAAACGACAGGATCCGTATTCTTAAAAGGCAGTCTAAAATTGAAATAAAAAAACATAATTGAATTGAAAACTGAAAAGATTAAAAATGAAAAGAAGAAGTAATCGAGACATAAATGATATGTGAGACATAAAAGTAGATCATATGGGTAATTTCCACTACGTGTTTTCATTTTCTTTTAAATTTATGTACTCTATTGTCAATTCTCCCTTAGCTCAAAATATTCTTTAAAAATGTCAAAGTCTACTCAATTTATTCCCAGCTATCAATTGATCACTCTTGACCTTCACGTGTTTTATCATATTCGATCTTCAATGATGGCACTTTGGACACTTTGGGTTTAATGTGATATATACACTGAAAAGTTGACGCAAACTTTTTGAGATGTAATGGTAGAGGTTTTGAGAACGATAGCAGAATGGGGTACAATTTATAACAATAATCATAATAGCAATTGTTAATCGCCCAAATGTTTTTGCATAAGTTATAATGCAGGCTGCCCCAAGCTTACATTACATGTCTACATTTTCGAGGATACAAAAATATACAACCTCAAGCTAAGTAGGTACTAAATCTTGACAGATTTAGAGGTCATTTTTCGCCGTTGATGCTCCCACGCTTCGGTATTTATTGCGTGGCAATGAGCGGATAATCCATTCCACTGTTCACACGGAGCAGAAACGTCGCACACATAGCAATAACACTGGTCAGTATCAAAGTCACAAGTTAGGTGTTGCACAACAAACACAAACTCGAAACCAATAGTTTATCATTGCTGGTACAATTAAGTAACCTAAAAGAAAAGCTGGTTCATTGTATGGTAACGGTTTCCTAAGTTCCCTCCATGGCTCCGTCGATCGAAAAATCATACCGAAAAACATAAACTCTCATGAAACTACTCCAACATTTTCAATCATTCTTTATCCGTGTGTTCCAAACTTTTTTTTCTCATCCCTTTAAAAGTAACAAGTCAGTACCTAACATTGTTTATTTCATCTCTAGATCCCAGAAACTTCAATAATGCAATTTTTACTTCCTCATTCCGTGTGTCAATCACACAGAGGAAATGCTAAAATTGAAAAGATATCAAGTTAATTGCATTATTAATAGTTAATACTATTAAGTATTAACAAAAACGAAGTAAGCTATTTACACTTGTTGGCTGTTGCTCACATTTTGTGCTCAAACTAGAAATTTTTATTTTCTCATATGACATGTACTTCCATTGCCCTGTATTTTGGTAAAGCCATTAAACCTACTGAAGTTCTGGTGACCAAGTACCAGTTAACAGACTCTTCCCTATCCCTAGCTAGTTACTTGAGACATTGCTGAGGTAAATAAATGTTCTTTTGAGACTTCTATGGTTGGCGAAAAGAAATCATGTTACCAGTTCGCAATATTTCTCATGAGGTGTGGTGGCAAAGGGAAACTTTACACAGATGTGTCTTGGATGTGGAAAATCTCTACAGGCCACCTATACAACAACATCAACAAATGATTTCACAAATCCTATATTAACTGCAATTAGCAAGCATACATGTATACAAGGATATAGATATCCAAATCTGAGTTGAGATCATCAATTCATTACTTGTTTAATGTTTAAGATCATATTTCTTCTGTGATAAAGATAATTTCAAGACAAAAAGTGATGAATTATAATGGGTAGCTGATGATGCACCATTGGAGGAAAAAGTGGAAACAAATAAATCAATAACTATGATCAAAGTTCTTGATTTATTCAGGCAATCCTTGAAAGATGTATTCTCCGCTTTCTGTTTTATTCAAAAGTTCTGCTCAACACACTGATCAAAGTCTGAATTGCACCCATGTTGCAGGGAAACGTGAAAATCATAAGGAAACGCAAAACAAGAAACGTCAAATTTTGCTAAAAAACGCTTGTTTCGAGAGTTTACGAAGAGTTTCTGTGCTATATAGAATTGCACAAAATAACTAAAAATGATGGGTGCTCAAAGAATTAGAACATTGCACACTCAACAAGTAATAATGTTTGATAAGAAAAGAGAATCAAATCCAAAAACTCATTTTCATTGAAACCATGAAATCCAAATGTCGACAAAATCATACTCCCTCCGTCCCGGGGAGAAGTTCCCAATTTCCTTATTTGGATGTCCCAAAAGAAACTTCTCATTTCCCTAAATGGAAAGTTATTCTACATTAAAACAGTGCCAAACAGTGCAAAACAGTGCCAAACAGTGTCGAAACAGTGCCAAACAGTGCAAAACAGTGCCAAACAGTGTCGAAACAGTGCCAAACAGTGTCGAAACAGTGCAAAACAGTAAAATTTATCCCTCAATAACTTTATTTCCTAAAAATGTGTGAAATTCAACCCGGGAACTTCTCCCCGGGACGGAGGGAGTATGAAAAAAGAGTTCAAATACGGAGGGAGATGAGCATACATTGCCTTTTTCTGCAACGACGGCAATTTCTGGGTCCTGGTCGTCACAAATAGAACTTCTGGAATCGAAAGGGTCGAAATCCAGGATAAAGCAATCCTCTTTTTCATCGAACTCTGTCAATTGCTCTCTATTTTTGAGACAAAATGTTGCCCTAAGCGGAGTTCCCTGCTGCTCATCATCATCCAGAGGTGAAGAAGACAAATCAACTAACCCAACCGGCTCATTGACTTTCGCTTTCTTCTTCAATCCCATGTAGGGTGAAGACCTGAACTAGGGGCCTTCAGCAAACGAAATCTTGGTTGATCTGTCCACCTTCTCGAGAGCAACCTGCTCACGAACGGATATGTTTGAAATTTGAATAGCAACCGACATTGCAATTACATTTACAAGTTCCCTAAAGTAAAACGGGCTATATTTAGGTTTTTCTCAATTTATTATTCGGGAAAATCGCACTTTTAATTCCTGAAATAGTCACAAAAATGAAAGATCGGACTTGTATTTTTGATATTGTAAATGTCGGTCCTAAATGAGGTCCTTTAAGAGAAGAAATGTACTTTCGCCCACATTGTATATTTCATCTTTCAAAGGACCGCATTTAGGACAATTGAAGGACGACATTTACAAATTTGGGAATACGGGTCTGACGTTTCATTTTCATGACTATTTTGGGGACTAAAAGTGCAATTTTCCCTTTATTACTCCCTCCGTCCTACTTAGATTGTCTCGTTTTATTTTTCTATCCGTTCTAATAAAATTGTTTCATACCAAATTTGACAAAGTTTATGTAGCTCTAAACCATTCTTACTTTAATGTTACTTTATTAATTCAATATCAACCACATAGACCACTTTTTATTGATTTGTGTGTCACTCCCTCTGTCTCACAATTAGTGGGATAGAGGGAGTGTCATTTTTTTATTATCTTAATATATTACTGTATCATTGACATAAAGTAATCTGATTTTTTATCCAATCTGAATCCTTCTTATGTGAATATTTCTAATCTAATTGAGTGTTCAACATCATCATCATTATAATAATAATAATAATTATTATTATCATTATAATTATTATCTTTATATTATTAATGTTATTATTATGATTATTATTATAACTATAAGAATAATTGTAATTATAACTATAATTAAAATTACATATATACCCATAGATGTAAATATGTAATTATAATTTTAATAATAATTATAATAACAATTATATTAAAATTGTAATTATAATCATAATTGGATGATATGTAAGATTGTTTTAAAAAAATTGTGTGAGAAATTATTTAGGGAGATTATTGAGAAAAAAAAATTTGGTATCATGATTCAAATCCTGATTATTTTATATTGTAGTTAAATTAAGAGGCCATTTGGCAACCCTCTTTTTGGGCTTATCAGTCTTATCAGCCAACTTTTCACCAAACATGTAACTTTTGCTTTCTCGCGCTGAGTTGTGTAATAAGCAGAAAAAGTAAGGTTGAAGTTATTTTTCTGGCTGTGTTGGTTGAAGTTACTGTAGATGACCATTTGACCTATTTTTACATATAATTTTTTCTTTATTCTATTAATAAAATACGTAGTATATTTTAAAAATATTTTTTTTCTTAATCAGCGGAACCAGCAAATGCAGCCACTTCTGCCAGAATTTCAATTATTTCAGCAAAATGAGCCAAAATAGTTGTTTGTCGTGCTACCAGATGGGTTCTAAATATAGTGCATATCCTAGAAAATCAGCTCTAAACCAAAGCTATTATCATAGAGAGTATAATTTATTTTAGTTATAAAAATTATCCTAAATCGGAGTAATTTCTGCCAAGTTTGAAAAAAATTTAGCAGAAACTGTCATGTTTAAAGCAGGATAATTAATGCCAAACTTGATATAAATTACTCTTATTTAGAGAATAAAAACATGGCAGTCTTTTTTCGAATTTCAAAACTATTTTACTCCTATTTAGAGAATTTTTCCTTTTAGTTACCATATATGTGATTCATCTTTCATCATAGAAGCTCACAATCAAGCTGACTAATTCTGCTAAAATTTATGAAGTTCTGACTAAAGTGGCTGTATTGCTGATTCTGCCGATTAATGAAAAGATTGCATTTAAATTTTTTTTATATTAATAACTCAAATTGTTGATGTTAATTCCGTCAAACCTTGGGCCCAACACGTAAGCCCAAAGGGTCTCGAGTGGAGGGGGTGTGTAAATGTATGGATATTTAGCCCAACAACTATCAGATGGATCAGGAAACAGAGGAAATAGCAGGCAATGTAAATAGGTATTATTAACTTCGTAATAACTCCCCTAAGTACAATCTACTTGCTAAAAAGGCACGTCGGCCGTTCGTCTTACAAGGCAGTATAGATGCTACCAGTAAGAATGCTATAGCTAGGATGCTAAGAATAGAAAGTTGTCAACCCTTTACAATGAAATAAATGCTTCTATTTATATCCACCAATGGGCAGGTGCCTATGCTGACGTGGAGGCCTGTGGACCGCTGGTGTCCCAACCACCAAATCTTCAGCATTAAATGCACTTCCCGCCAGAATCTGGGTTTCCCGCCTAAATAGTGGGGACGTTCGTCCGCCCGGGAAGCGAGCTGGATCGCTCCAAGTGACCCTCAAGAGGTTTCGGCTGTTCGTCTCCTGGCCTTAGTGGATTCTCACCATGTGGACTGGATTTCCTTCGATGACTATAGGCTTGCTCTGGAGACGTTCGTCGTCATCCCTGATGGCCCGTGGTCCTGCTCCTTGTCCCTGCATAGACGTTCGTCGCGATGGGCCGTTGAGCCTGAATCCCCAGACGTTCGTCCCTCCCCAAGGAACATGGGCCTGCGGCTAACCTTGTGTTCTAACTGGACGTGCGTATGGTAAAAAGGGGTTAATGGGCCGGACCTCGGCTTGGGCCATTAACCCAACACAAGTCCCCCACTTCTGATGTTCTGAGCATGTGCATGACATAAGGAAGTATGAAATCCCTCGAAGTAGACGTTCGTGTCTTGATACTTGTGATTTTCGCATCCGGTGTATGCGTACGCTCGTGGTCATGGTGCTTGACAGCTGTCGACGGTTCAGGAAACGAGGTGACGGCTGCTGTAGCGGCGGTGCGTTTCCCGAGGAAGTGTCATCATTACGTTCCATCCCACGCACAGCGCGTGAGCCGGGATACGCTCCTTGCCACGTGTCAACCCCTCGTTGGTCCCCCCACCGGTGCTCCTCCTATAAATGCCGTGTTTTCCCTCTGGATTAGGGTTCCCAATTTCTGCTCTCTTGCTATTGAATTTCCGCTGTTCTTCGAGTTCTCTCCCCCGCTTCCGAGTTCAGCTAGTCTCCTCCTTAAGGTAATTTTCTCCTCTGCTTCTTTTATCTGTCTCGGCTTCTTGTTGAAATGATGTCGATGGAGATTTCGTCAAGTTCTGATTCTGGTTCGTCGGGTTCCTCCGCGGGCTCTTCTTCGGACAATGTGAGTGCGCGCTCCCCCGGAAAGGCCAGTGTTTATGGGACTTCTGGTTCGGCCACGACGGTAGGGACCATCCGGGCTGATGGTGAGCCGGATGACGCTTCCCAAGGTAGTGGGAGCGACGCCGGGGATGGGAATGCTGACGGGGCAGTAGATGTTATTGACGCAGTCCCCCTGAATGAGCGCCCCGCCGATTATGATTCTGGAGAGGAAGCCGAATCCGGTTCTGACATGGAGGTGCATGATCTGGGCATCCCTACGGACATGGAGCGCCACATCTGCCCGATCAGGAGCGCCCTTGACCACGACCAAGTCCTCTCCCGCGTGGCCCTCAACAAAATCCGCACCTTCTTCCCCCCGCCGTTCGTCTGGAGCGTAAGAGGCGCTGAGCATGTGATGAGGAGACGTCCGGGGATGATCATGCTCCATCTGGATTCCGTTGAAGCCGGGCTGCGGTTTCCATTTCATTCGTTCTACGTGGATTTCTTCCACTGCTTCCAGGTGGCCCCGGCGCAATTTATGCCAAATTCTTATAGGTTCATATCAGCCTTTCTGGTGCGCTGCAAATTGGCGGGAGTCACTGCCACTTTGGACCTGTTCCACTATTTCTACCGCATTACCCCCCAGAACTCTGACGGATATCTGAGCGTGGCCGCACGTCCCGGAAGGCGGCTGTTCAAGAGCTACCCTTCGTCTATCCACGACTGGAAGAACCGCTTCTTCTTCCTCAGATACGATGGGCCTCCCCTCCCGGCTCGGTGGAATGGTTATCCCCCAAAGATTGAGTCATCGGAGCCGACCGACGATCTACTTTGGGACGTGGAGAAGGTGTTGGAGGGCGGCGTCTGCCCTATAGCCGGATACCTGACCTTCGAGGCACTCTCTGGGGCAGGCATAGGTACCGTCCGTGTCCCCGGGCTTTTTTCCACCCTTCGACGCTCGTCTCGGGGCACCGGGCGGTCCTGTCCTTCGAGGTGAGTGTCTTATTATATTCTCCGTTCGTCTTTTAACCCTTCATTGTTTCCTGCAGGTTCTCCACCAGATAGAGCTCAGATGAATCACGCTGAGTGTCTGAAGACAAGGAAGGCCAAGGCGGCCGCTGCTAAAGCCGCACTGGCGAAAGCCAAGAACGCCCCCTCCTCGGACTCCAACTCTTCGGCTTCCGATGCTGCCCGGCGAACGGCCGAGGGTGAGCTGCACCTAATTGCCACTATGTTGGCCCAGGGGTCCAGGGCCCCTGCTCTCGAGGCTGCCCTTCCGCCGCCGGTCGTCTCCACGAAGGCGGCTTCTCAGAAGGGGGCAGAGAAGGCCCCAGAGAAAAAGCAAAAGAGGGGCCGCGAGGCAGTCTCCACTGGCCCTCTGCTTGAAGACGTCGGCGCCCTGCCCTTGAGCCGCCCGGCGGAGGAACTCTGGAGGGAGATGGCCCTCAAAGCTGGTCTCGAGCTACCCCGCCGTTTATCTTCTGAGGCGACCAGCGCTGCCCTGGCAGCCGCTCTTCAGGTAATTCCTCATTACTAGATCCGAGTATATCCTTTCCTTGACGTTCATCTCTTGACTATTGTCTTTATTTTTCCTTCTGTTGCCCAGTCTGGGCTTCTAGTCCTCCAGGCTGAAGCTGCCAGGGAGGCCGACCTGAGAGAGGCCAAAGCCAAGGCCGATGCAGCTGTTGCTACAGCCCGGGAGGCCGCCCGTCGAGCCGAGGCGGAGTCTGCGGCCAAGGAGAAGGAGCTCGCCGCCCTGCGGGCAGAATCCCGCCAACAGCTGGTCAGCCTCGAGAAAGCTGGCTTCAAGCTTGTCCCGGTGCACCCTGTCGCGAAGGATGCAAGTCCGGAGTGGCTGGTTGATACCTCCGGCTACCGGAACACTGGGGAGTTTATGGACTCTGCCAAGGATTACTGA